CTTGCAAACAAGCCGTGGGCCGCAAAGGGGCCGCGGTCGGCAATTAATGTTCTCTTGCTCTTTGCTTGGGTTTGTGCCGGCGCTGGGTATGCGTCGCGGGGGAACAGGCCAACGTTGCACGCGGCCGTGACACAAGTTTCTTTAATTTGCTATTGCTAAGATCTCTCTTCCTAACATGACACGATGCTGGGGTCATTCGGCGGAGTAGTTTCCGACCCCGGAGACGTTAATTCATATCTCTGTTACACCATAACGGGATCGGAGACTACTCCGCGCCAAACCATATAAGTTAACGAGCGGGGTGCGATTGCGCGTATAAATTGTCGAGCGGGATGCGATTGCGCGCGGAATAGTTGTAGTAAAACTACCCCGAACTACTCCGCACGAGCGCGCCATGCCCCAAAGGCCAATTGAATGAAGCATTCGCCACGGCGATGTAGTAGTAGTAGTAGTAGTAGTAGTAGTAGTAGTAGTAGTAGTAGTAGTAGTTGTAGTCGAAGTAGCAGTAGTAGTAGTAGTAGTAGTAGTAGTAATAGTAGTAGTAGTCGTAGTAGTGGTAGTAGTAGTAGTAGTAGTAGTGGTAGTAGTAGTAGTAGTAGTAGTAGTAGTAGTAGTAGTAGTGGTAGTAGTAGTAGTAGTAGTAGTAGTAGTAGTGGTAGTAGTAGTAGTGGTAGTAGTCGTAGTAGTAGTAGAAGTAGTAGTCGTGGTCGTCGCAGTAGTTTTGGTAGGCGTCTTCGGGGCAGTAGTCGTAGTAGTAGTAGCAGTAGTAGTAGTAGTAGTAGTAGTAGTAGCAGTAGTAGTAGTAGTAGTAGTAGTAGCTAGCACTAGTAGCAGTAGTAGTAGTAGTAGTAGTAGTTGTTGTTGCAGTAGTAGCATTGGCAGTAGTTGTGTTAGCAGTAGCAGCCGTAGTCGTAGTAGTAGTAGTAGTGGTAGTAGTAGTAGTAGTAGTAGTAGTAGTAGTAATAGTAGTAGTAGTAGTAGTAGTAGTAGTAGTAGTAGTAGTCGTAGTAGTAGTAGTAGTAGTAGTAGTAGTAGTAGTAGTAGTAGTAGTCGTAGTAGTAGTAGTAGTAGTAGTAGTAGTAGTAGTAGTAGTAGTAGTAGTAGTAGTAGTAGTAGCAGTAGTAGTAGTAGTAGTAGTAGTAGTAGTAGTAGTAGTAGTAGTAGTAGTAGTAGTAGTAGTAGTAGTAGTAGTAGTAGTAGTAGTAGTAGTAGTAGTAGTAGTAGTAGTAGTAGTAGTAGTAGTAGTAGTAGTAGTAGTAGTAGTAGTAGTAGTAGTAGTAGTAGTAGTAGTAGTAGTAGTAGTAGTAGTAGTAGTAGTAGTAGTAGTAGTAGTAGTAGTAGTAGTAGTAGTAGTAGTAGTAGTAGTAGTAGTAGTAGTAGTAGTAGTAGTAGTAGTAGTAGTAGTAGTCGTAGTAGTCGTAGTAGTCGTCGTAGTCATAGTAGTAGTAGAAGCACTAGCAGTAGTAAGATTCGTGGTCGCGGCGGCCGCCGAGGGGGGCGCAAGTGGCGCCGCGGCGGGCGGCGCCGAGGGGGGCGACGCCGCGGCGGGCGGCGCCTAGGGGGGCGACGCAGCAGCGGACGACGCCGACGGAGGCGACGCCGCGGCGGCAGGCAGCGCGGGCGACGCCGCGGCAGCAGGCAGCTCGATGGGCGACGCAGCGGCGACAGGCAGCGCGGGCGATGCCGCGGCCGACGCAGGCAGCGTGGGCGACGCCGCGGCCGCTGCAGGCAGCGTGGGCGCCGCCGCGACGCCACCGACGGCGAGGCCGAGTGCGCCCATGAAGGGGAAGCGGCCTCCGAAGAAGGCCAGGGAGAAAGCGAACGCTGCAGAGACGGCGGCCCAGCACGCGGCGAAGGGCAAGGCTAAGGGCAAAGCCATGTCGGCGCCGAAGCCACCACCCAAGAAAGCCACAGCCAAGGCGACGGGAGCGGCAGCGTCTGTGCCACCCAGGACCAAGTCGGCGAACGCCGCAGCGCACGTGACCAGGGCAGCGGCGGCGAGTGCGGCAGCGCTTGCGCCACCCCGGGGCCAAGTCGGCGAAGCTGCAGCGTCTGTGACCACGGCAGCAGTGGCGAATGCGGCAGCGCCTGTGCCCACGGCCGCGGGCAAGGCCATGGCTGGCTACGCGGACGTCGGCAAGTGGATCCAGAAGGCGCCAGTCGGACCGCCGCTGGTGGGCCCGACGGCTGCGAGTTCGGGGCCGGAGACCCCCAGCAAAAAGGGGTGGGGCGAGGACTGCTCCTCTCCTCAGAGGTTCGCGGTGGGGAGCGTCGCGGCGCTATCGAGCCCGCAGAGAAGGGGCCGCCCGAGCGACCAGCGCGAGTTGGGCCTGGATGCAGTCGACGACACGTTCCACTGCGATCGGCGCGGCCAGCCGTGCGAAGTGACGTCGTCGTATCCCACGCGGGCCACGAAGAAGGGGCAGGTCTTCAGGTGCAAGCTGTGCTCGTCGCGCGGCGTCCAAGTCGCTCGTTGCGAGGGGTGGGGTGCGACGAAGGCGCGGCTGCTGCGTTTCAATGAGCGCGAGCGGAAGGCCCCCTGGAACGGCCTGCAGGAGTGCACGAAGAAGTTCGAGCTGCAGAAGCACCTGAGCTTCACTCTGCAGGCGCTCGCGGAGAAGGGGCATCGGCACGGTGAGAAAGGTGGCGATTACCCACTGACGTGGCACACGAGACAGGGGTTCCCGCGGCGCCGCATCGAAGCCACGTGTACGGACGTTGTTCTACACCCCGTTCTGGGTAAGTGTCACCGCGTTGAAATACATGAAATAGAGCGCTGTGAGCAACAAGTGGGCAGAGAAGGTCCAGGAGGAGCCCGCAGAGGGCGTCGAAGCGAGCGGCGGTGACGTTGCAGCGGAAAGTGACCGCGAGAGCAGCGAGGAGGTCGACGATGTCGACAACGCCGGTTTCGAGGAATGCGAGAGGGGGTGCGAAGGCGGCGACGAGAAGGAGGGTAGTAGTAGTAGTAGTAGTAGTAGTAGCAGTAGCAGTAGTAGTAGTAGTAGTAGTAGTAGTAGTAGTAGTAGTAGTAGTAGTAGTAGTACTAGTACTAGTACTAGTAGTAGTAGTAGTCGTAGTAGTAGTAGGAGCAGTCGTAGTACTAGTCGTAGAAGTAGTAGTGGTAGTGGCAGTAGTTGTCGTACTAGTAGTAGTAGTCGTCGTAGTAGCAGTAGTAGTAGTAGTAGTAGTAGTAATAACAATCGCAGTGTAGTAGTAGTAGCGGTCGTAAAAATAATTGTGGTCGTAGCCGCAGTACAATATTAGTAGTAGTAGTCGTAGTAGTAGTAGTAGTAGTAGTAGTAGTAGTAATAGTCGTAGTCATAGTAGTAGGGGTAGGAGTAGGAGTAGGAGTAGGAGTAGGAGTAGGAGTAGGAGTAGGAGTAATAGTTGTGGTGGTTGTAGTGGTAGTAGTAGCAGCAGTAGTAGTAGTAGTAGTAGTAGTAATAGTAGTAGTAGTAGTAGCAGTAGTTGTCGTAGTAGTATTCGTAGTAGTAGCATTCGTGGTAGTAGTAGCATTCGTACTAGTAGTGGTAGTAGTAGTAGTAGTAGTAGTACTAGTAGTAGTAGTAGTAGTAGTAGTAGTAGTAGTAGTAGTAGTAGTCGTAGTAATCATATTATTAGTATTAATATCAGTATTAGTATTAGTATTAGTAGTAGTAGTAGTAGTAGTAGTAGTAGTAGTAGTCGTGGTAGTAGTAGCAGTAGCAGTAGCAGTAGTAGTGGGAGCAGTAGTAGTAGTTGTTGTGGTAGTAGTCGCGCCAGCCGCAACAGTCGCAGGAATGGCTCTTGTGATAGTATCGCATGACTAGCGGCCGTCGGCCAGCTGTGCGCCAGTATGGCAGAACGGACACATTCTAGAACCGCCGCGGCGAGGTCCCCGAACAAAGCGTGATTCCATGATTGCAGACATGTGGATGCGGATTCGGATGTGGATGTTGATGGGGATGGGGCTGTTTATGATGACGATAATGGTGATGGTGATGTTGCTGATGCTGTTGGTGGTGATGGTCATCATCAGCATGATGCGTGGGTTGATGATGATGGTGCGTCTTGCGTAGAGACCTTCCCAACATTTGCGTGCATCCGCGCTGGATCGTCCACTCCGTATGACGGCGCGCGTGTAATTTTGCAATTGGGCATGCGGTGTATCATCTTACGGTTCTTCCGTTTCAGCTGGTGTGGGGCATGGTCCGGCATGTGGTTATTGTGTCAGACCTTTGTAACCTTATGTGTGTCTCTTGTCATCTCCTTCCCCTCCTTTTTCTGCTTGTCCCTTGCTCTCACGGCACGGCTCTTTTCGTGCGCCCCGTCTCGCAATCGCAGCGGGCACTGCGAGCACACCTCCATTGAGCATATTTTCATCTTTCTTTTCCTTTTTTCTTCCTCCATGTGGACCGTCCGATTGCAGGCAGGTCTAGTAAGACGCCAGCCCGCCACGACCTGGGCACCCAACGGAGTTGATGGGCTTTCTTTAAAGCCCAACACCTAATTAATATTGCGCCCACGTATTTCTTGCTGCAGGATCTTTACATACAATCAAGATCGAGGTCGGTTCGGGGATGGTGCCGTCGTGTTCTTTGTGTTTGTTGGATGTTCTTGTGCATCCTGGAGAAGGGCACCCCCGAATGTTCTTCAGTTTGCACCGGTGGAGGGGCTCGGGTTCTTGAAGGAAATACTTTTGGCCTAGGTCCGACTGTGCATGCCAATTGTATGCCGTAGCTCATCGTGCTCTCTGTCGCCAGCCCCGCGGGTTGTGCAGCCCGGTCTCTTTCTGGGGAAAGCACTCGGGCGGTGGCGGGACAGGGATGCACCGTTCCAGAGCGTTCTGGGACGCAGGCCGCGGTGCCCGGTACGTCCTCCAGATCCGATGTGCCCCCCGATTTGTCCCGAGGGGATCTCGGAGATCCCCGATTCGTCCCTGTCCGATGTTGCCCCTGTCCTGGCTTCGTCGCGTGGCCTTTTTTCAGCGGCAAGCGCCCCCCTGCTCCGCCCCCCTGCAGCGTGGAATGCAAGAACACCACCTCCAAGCCGCACTTCAAGAAGTCGAACCAGGGCGACCTCTCAATATGCGGGCTCCTGTACCACGAGAGGACGCCGCCATCGCCCCCGCGCGTCCTTCCCTCCTCCCCCCCGAGAGGAGAGAGACGACGACGACGACGACGACGACGACGACGACGACGAGAACCGACGACGACGAGCCCCGCCCGCCGCTCGCCTGCACTGCCGCGGTCACTAGGCTGTCAATACTTCCCAGCATGTCTGCCCCCCCCCCTCTCCCCTCCTCCTTTGCCCTTTGGCCCATGCTGCTGACACGTTGCGCGGGTCTTGATGTCCGTTCCTGATTCTCGGGGTGGAGCAGTGTGATTGACAAGTGGATCGGCATGCGGATTGTGGCACCTTCTCGTTTCGCCTTCCCTCGCCCTCTCCCAAGAGTGTGCTGGACCCTTTTTTTGTATCTTCGCTTCGCGGGGTGACTCAGGAAAGCGAGCTGAATTAGCCAGCAACCGACCTTCGGACCATGCCCGAAGCGTTGCCGATGCCAATGCGGCTGCGCCAGCCCTACCCCAGATGGGGGAAAGGAGGAAGGAGGACAAAGGAGGAGATAGTGATGAGTGCGGGCAATAATTATATCCACATCCAGTGCGTCTTGGATTCTTGGGCTCTCTTCCCCAGAAACCGTAGACGCGCTGGATATGGACAAAGATCTGGCCCCAAGAGGCTTGACTTTATCCATATCCAGTGCGCCTCGGCGCTGCGGCACCTCTTCCCGAAAAGTCCACGGTGCTCTGGATATGGATAGAAGTACTGCCCGCGATGAGGGGGAGACCCTCTCCCAACAGCGCGCTGGAACAACACGACGCGGCCATCCGTGGCCCGAGTCGTCCGCCTGACGGCAGCCTGCAGCAGCCCTGACCGCCTTGACCGCCGCCCTCCCGAGAGCTTCGACGATCGAGCTTCGTCGCGTTTTTGCTTCTGCGCCGCGGCAGCGGCAGTGGCAGTCCGCACGCGCGGCTGGGCGAGGCCGAGGCACGGCGTCGCGAATCGACCCGCGTGCGAGAGTCGGGGGCGGCAAAGACCCAGCTCCGACGTCGCGAGAAACTCACGACGAAGGTTTTTGACGATGTTCGGCCTCTGGAGGCCCTCGCCGGGCCTCGGGAGCGTCAAACAACGACCCGGGATGAAAAGCCGGTCCCAGGGAAGGTCTCCAGACTTCGGGGTGCCGACGTCGTGAGTTTCTCACGACGTCGGGGATCTGGGGAGGGGGGTGACGACTCGGTGGGGGTGGACCTCATGGCGTGGGCCAAGATATGTCGTGGCGCCCCGTCTTATCTCATGACCTCCGTGCCCCCCCCCCCCCCGGGGCCGCGCACATGCCGCCGGCCATGCTTTGCACCCCCCCCCTCCTCTTGGGCGCCCCCCTCCTGGCCGCTCCCGAAAGAGGGGGGCGGGGAGGCGAGGGGGCGGCCGCGGATGGGGGGAGCCGGGCGCCGGGGACACGCGCGCAGCGGGGCTCTGCGGGCTTTGAGACCGCAGACAGGTGCTGGACGCTCTCGGGCGTGCTCCTGCTGTCCGGGGGTGCCCTCGCCGGCGTTCTGGGCCACGGCGCTCCCCGGGGCAGGCTTCGGCGAGAGGGGCCCCGAAGTTCGACCTCTCGTGGAGCTGTGGGAGCGCCGCAGGTAAAGAGAGAGTCACGGCCAGCGCCCTCGGTCCTCCGGCCCCGTGTTCGGGCGGGTCGGCTCCCGCACGGGGGTCTATACCTGGGAGGATGCCCGTGGGGCTGTCAAGAGCCCGTCGTGCCTGCTCGTGCGCGGCGCCAGGATCCAAGGGTACGGCCTCCCCCTGCTCTGAAGTTTTTCAGCTGAAGCCCTTGCCCTGGATTCATTTGTATCTCTGGGCCCCGGGGACCTTCCCTGAGATCCTGGCGTTGCATCTTCTCGCAGCGGGCAGCAATTTCAATTTTGCCTTGCTCCAGACCCGGGCACCCTCGAGGATCGATCCCGCCCGAGAATTCACCAGAAAGATAGGGCCCAGGGCTCTGGTAGAGCGGTCTTACGATGCTGCAAGCTTTCCGCTGGAGCACGTTGATCAGGAGGGAAAGAAACACACAGACACAATTATCGTCGATTCCCAGGAAAAAATTGGAAACTATGGGAAGTGGGGGGGAAGACAAAAGCCCAGAAAATATGAGGAAAATATGGGGAATACTTTTATTTGTGTGTATTCATTTGTGTGTCCTGGGGCCCCTTCAAATCTCTCCGCTGGAGCACGTTGAGACCAGGACCTGGCGGAGGATCCCGCCGTGGCGACGGCGGCGCGCAGGGGGGCCCCCGAGAAGGCCCAGCAGCGCACGAGAAAGCGAGTCCCCATCCTCGATCACTGTCAGTCGGGGAAACGCAAGACTCGAGTAAGCCTGAACTCGGGTCTGCCGACGTCTTTCGACGAGCGCGTCCTGGATTCTGACGGTCCCGTTTTCGTGGGATGTTCGCAGCGGGAGCTCGCGTCGAATTTCAGATTGGGTCTAGTGATTTTATACTGATGGCCCCGTCAGGACAACCCGAGTCCCCCTTACCCGAGTCCTACGTCTCCCCGATCCAGGGGAGGTCAGGAGGCCTTCGGAGGTCTCCAATGGCGTTGCTGCGATCGACGTCCAGGTGTCTCGAGAGGCGTCTCCCTCCTTGTCGCCCTGCCGCTCGAGCAGGCGGTGCCCTTTCCGCCCCCCTGGGTGAACATTGGGGGCATGATTCCTCAGCGCGGCTGCTGAAATGCTAGTTTTTCTGGATGGGTCTTCCTGGAGCCCGCTGGACGGATCTGTTCGATTCGAATTCGATTATAGTAGTTCGATTCGAGGTTGACTCTAGTTTAGCTCAAGCTCGACTCATCTTCAGTCGACGGGCGTTCGACACATCATCGACGCATGAGTGGAGCGAGTGGCTCCAGGAAGTTTCCCAAGACAAGCATCTAAGACGAGTTCCTTTTGTTATATGATGGTTTTCTGGCGGCTTCTCCGTTCCGGATATCACTGTAGTGCCATGATATATTGACGGTGTCGATGTGGTCGCAGGGTCTTGGGGTATACGTGAGGTATCAGATGAGGCGACGTGTGATTGAGGCAAATACGCACAGTGGAGGTAGTCGATTGTGCATCTTTCGGCGCTGACGATAGCACTGAAGTCGGGCTGTGCCTAGATCCAAGTCGATGACGCTAACGTGACATAGCACATGTGTCCAGACCAGAACTTGTGCCGAGATTCATCATGCTGACACGCCGGGGTCCGCGTTTCGAGGGATCCATTTCGGCCAGATCTGGAGCTCTAGCCGGACTCTACAACCTCGTGATCCTTGCCTCCGCCCCTCCGCACAGCGCCGACGTGCCGATGTCGACGGGTCATTCCCGCGCGCACATGGCGGCCCGAGCTTACATCTTGAGAGGGCTGCTCTCAAGATGAGACTTGACCTGCAAGAAGCACCGCCCTCCCAGGAGAACGAGAAGTAGGTGGAACTCGCGGAGGAGGAGGAGGAGGAGGAGGAGGAGGAGGAGGGAGACGGATGATGTTGTTGCCGTTGATGATGATGTTGATGCTGATGCTGATGATGATGATGATGATGATGATGATGAGGAGGAGGAGGAGGATTATGATGATGATGATGATGATGATGATGATGATGATGATGATGATGATGATGATGATGGTGTTGGTGATGATGATGATGATGATGATGATGATGATGATGATGATGATGATGATGATGATGATGATGATGATGATGATGATTATGGTGATGATGATGGTGATGGTGATGATCATGATGATGATGATGCTCATGATGCTGATTATGATGATGATGGTGGTGGTGATGATGATGATGCTGAGGAGGATGAGGAGGAGGAGGAAGAGGAGGAGGAGGAGGAGGTGGAGGAGGAGGAGGAGGAGGAGGAGGAGCAGGTGGAGGAGAAGGAGGTGGAGGAAGACAACGAGGACGAGGAGGAGGACGAGGCCGAGGACTACGCAGGAGGACGAGGAGGACGATGAGGAAGAGGGGGAAGGGGAGCGCGTCTGAAGGAGATGCGTTGAGCTCACTGGGTTGCGGCTCGGGCGGGCTTTGTGGTACTGCCCAGCGCCTCTGCTCGCTAAGCGGTCTGCGCCACCATAGCTACAGACGTGGAGATGGATACGAACACCTTTGACGATCAACGCCTCTTACAGTCCTGACTTACATTCGCCGTGAGGCATGCGGCATGCTCTGATCATGCCAACTGGATGTGGAGGCAGCAGCGCTGTGCGGCGACATGCCGCGGCTGGCCTGCCAGCACCACTGTTTGTGGAAGGCCTTGACGTGGGCCAGGTAGCAGACGGCGCGGTCTTATTTAACAGAAACAAGAAGAGCAAATCCCGCTCCCCGCCTCCCACCCTCTCAGTACACCGTTCTCCGAGACTCGTTGTAGCGAGGGGTGCAGGTGAGGAGAAAGAAGATACGCTCACGCTGGCATGTGTCCTGCGTGAAAGCCACTCCTCAGGAGTGTCGAGGCGCTCGAGGAGGTGGAGATCGAGCTCCAGGGGACGGCCGCGGGACAGGCACACCCACTCCCACTCCCGAGGAGGAGGACGCAGGTCCCCCCCTGGAACCCCCTCGTACCATTCGGTGCAAAGTCGTCCTTCCACATCCCTTCCTCATCGATCCTCGGCCCATCTTCGTTCTCCCTCCTCGTCCCTCCTCCTCCCCCTCGGTCGTCCCCCCCCTCCTCGGAGCTCCGCCGTCGTGCTCCTCCTGACGCGTGGGCCCCCCGGGAGGGCCCGACCCTTCCCCCCCGGGCCTGGTGCGGCCTCCCGAGCCGTTGGGGACCGTCCCGGGTCCAGTGAAGGCCCCTCCCTCCCCCCCCGGGAGGCCGAGAATTGCCAAAACACTTTCGCCGAGATTGTTCCCCCCTTTTGAGAGGAGGTGGAGGTGTGGGGCCTCTCCTCCCTCCTGATCCTGCCCTCCCCTCCTCTGGTAAGGCTTCGCGTTGCGCAGATCGGGGGTGGACGGACCTCCTACCCTGACGCGTCGATTCGTGAATTGTCCGTTCTCGGCTCTCGAGAGGGCGCCGCGGCCGTCATTTTCCAGGCTTGCGCCCGCCAGGCTTGGGCCCGAGGTCGTTTTCACTAAACCACGTTTTACTAAAGGGAGGCCTGTCCATCCCCGAGCATAGACAAGCGCGCCAGGCAGTCCCGGCCCGCCTGAACATGTCCCCCGAGCAGTCCCGGGCGGGCTCAACACCTCAGTCCTGGGGCGATAGAGAGCGCCCCGGGTGCGCCGCCAGACGCGGCTGGCAGGGTGGACCGCCCAGACGAGCTCGGGGCGCCTGCGATCGCGCCATGTCGCTCCGAACGTGCCTCTCGAGCATCGCCGATGCGTATAGGGTAAAGTCGGGCCTGTCCCTTTACAGGGGGGATATTCAAACATAGTCAAGAAATAGTCTGGGGACGATGTTTTGACTATTTTGGGGCATCCTTTTTGAGTATTATTTGTATTTTTCATTTTTCTGCCAAAATCCCCCTGCAGGGGGACACGCCCGACTTGAGTATAGGGGCCTGATAGGGGCCAACATTGAAAGAGCACCTGGAACACGTACCCCCCCCAACCCGAAATTCGGGCGAGATTCGGGTCTTCGGGTACCTAACAGCGAAGACTGATAGGTTTCTAGTGGTGTCAAAAGAAAGCATCATGACTCCTCAGGGGGGTCGGGGCGGGACCCGGGGCGGCTGCCGCCGAAGCCGAAATCGCTTGGGACATCCTCGCAAAATCGCTCTTGGCGCTCCCAGAACTCCATTCCCGGGCCACATTTTGAATGCCCGGAGCCAACTGTAGGCCACTTCGTGCTCTTCGACTTCCCAGAACTCCATTCCCGGGCCACATTTTGGATGCCCGGAGCCAACTGTAGGCCACTTCGTGCTCTTCGAGTTCCCAGAACTCCATTCCCGGGCCACATTTTGGATGCCCGGAGCCAACTGTAGGCCACTTCGTGGCCTTCGAGTTCCCAGAACTCCATTCCTGGGCATGATTTTGAATGCCCGGAGCCAACTGTAGGCCACTTCGTGTTCTTCGAGTTCCCAGAACTCCATTCCCGGGCCACATTTTGAATGCTGAGGCAGGCTGATGCTGAGGCTGAGGCAGGCTGAGGCTGAGGCAGGCTGAGGCTGAGGCCGAGGCTGAAGGCAGACTGAGGCTGAGGCTGAAGCAGGCTGAGGCTGAGGCTGAGGCAGGCTGAGGCTGAGGCTGAGGCAGGCTGATGCTGAGGCAGGCTGAGGCTGAGGCTGAGGCTGATGCAGGCTGAGGCTGAGGCAGGCTGAGGCTGAGGCCGAGGCTGAAGGAGGCTGACGAGGCTGAAGGCAGACTGAGGCTGAGGCTGAAGCAGGCTGAGGCTGAGGCTGAGGCAGGCTGAGGCTGAGGCAGGCTGAGGCTGAGGCTGAGGCTGATGCAGGCTGAGGCTGTGAATGTGACTGCCGTTGCCACTGCGACTGTCATCGCGAATGCGACTACGACTGCGAGAACAGCAGAATTCTACAACTGGATTCTCATCTGAATCTTGGGGAATGCTTCCAGATATGCTCCTACACATCGCTGTTAGGTTGCTTTGCCGGGATAATTTGTAGCCAGTCAGATGGGAGGCCCGCCCCGCCTCGGAGCGCGCGGCGCCGCTGCCGGGGGCCCGCCGTCGATATCCGTCGGCGGAGGTGCCGCGCTCGATGGCCCGGACTCGAGCATGCCGGAACTCGGGTTTGCCGACGCTTTTTGACGAGCGCGTTTCGGATTTTGACGTTCCAGTCTTCGTGGGACGTTTGCAGCGTGAGCTCGCGTCAAATCTCGGCCGGGATCTCGCAATTTTCACGAGGACCCCGTCGGGCCAATCCGAGTCCCCCGAACCCGAGCCTTCCCTTTCCCCGCTCTGTGGCCCGGGCGGGCGGCACCAGCCGCCGCAGCGCGGGCGCCATCGCCGGAAGAGAGAGAGGCACGGGGCGCCCGCGGGCCCGGGCGGCGCAGCAGACGTCGTGGCGGCGGGCTTCGGGCCTGGGGGCTGCTGAGGAAGGGGGGGAGGAGGAGGAGGAGGAGGAGGAGGAGGAGGAGGAGGAGGAGGAGGAGGAGGAGGAGGAGGAGGACGAGGACGAGGAGGAGGAGGAGGACGAGGAGGAGGAGGAGGAGGAGGAGGAGGAGGAGGAGGAGGACGACGAGGACGAGGTGGAGGAGGAGGAGGAGGAGGAGCGCCGTCGTCTTGTTCGTCATCGTCGTCGCGTCGTCGTCGACGTCGTTGGCGACGACGCCGATGAGGAGGGGAAGGCAGGAAGAGTAGGAGGGGGGTGTGGTGTAAAGGGGTGTGGAGCCAATGCTGGCTCTAGCGAGGTTATTGTAGTGGCCTTCGGCCAGTGCCGCCGATCCGGGTCGCTCGGGGTTATTCTCCAGACGCAGAAATTATGGGCGCACACTCAAACGCACACACACAGTCACACCACTTAACCTGCGCCGCAGACATGCGCACACAGCATCACCCACACACACATACTAGTTGGGAAACGCTCCTGTAGTACTAGTAGTAGTATTAGTAGTAGTAGTAGTAGTAGTAGTAGTAGCAGTAGTAGTAGTAGTAGTAGTAGTAGTAGTAGGTAGTAGTAGTAGTAGTAGTGGTTGTGGTAGTAGTGGTAGTAGTAGTAGAGGCCTCGTTCCGCGGCTTCTCTCGACTTCCCGCGGTCTCTCTCAAGTTTCGAGCACGCGGTGAGTTTCACGATATATGTGTGTGTATGTACGCGTGCATGCATGTATGCATGCATTGATCATGTGTGCCTGTGTGTAGGTACGTATGTATGTATGTATGCTTGTGCGCGTATGTATGTATTTAGTTTGTATGTATGTTTGTATGTGTGTATGATAATATGTGTGTATGTGTGTGAATGTAAGTATGTATGTCTGGAAGATTGTTTTTCTATGTATGCAAATGTGTTTAAATGTAGGTATGTATGCATGTGTGTATGGATGTGCGTTTGAAGAGCGAGGATGTTTCAAAGAAGAGGCACTCGGTGACGCGATCGTTGAGGGATAGGAGTGAGGTCGCAGAGGAGGAGGAGGAGAATGAGGAAGAGGCGATAACTTGAAGGAAAACGATGAGACGGAGGACATCCTGCCGGTGGCGCCCTGGGCGGTGCCGCGGAAGAAACCGGGGGCCTGCCGGAGGCAGTCTGGAGGCCTCTGGGGAGCTGTTTTGGGGCCTCTTGGAACCTCTTTTGGGCCTCTTGTGGGCTTCTTGGGGCCCCTTGGGGGTCTCTTGGGGCCTCCTGGGGGCCTCTTGGGGCGGAAAGCTCGGTTCTTTCGGTTCGTGGTCCCCCTCTTGGGCCCCTCTTGGGGCTCTCTTGGGGCCTTCTTGGGCTGTCCAGAGGCCCTCTTGGGCCGTCTTGGGGCCCTCTTGGGCCGTCTTGGGGCTCTCTTGGGCCGTGTTGGAAGCATCGTGGGCCGTCTTGGGACGGACTTGGGGGCCTCTTGGGCCGTCTTCGAGCGTCGGACGCCCGAAAAGGCAAGAACGCTAAAAACCCTGAGAAAACCAATGAAAATCAACGATTCTGGCCTCTTGGGGCCCTCTTGGGAGGCCTCTTGGAAGCTTCTTGGGGCGTCTTGGAGACACCTTGGGCCGTCTGGAGGCCATCTCGGGCGTCTTGGAGCGATTTTTCGGCGACTCGGGGCCCTCTTGGAACCCCTTGGGGGTCTCTTGGGCCCCCCCCCTCCTCCAAAGCGCCGGAAAAAGCGGAGCATGGCGCCCCCCCCCCCCCTATCTTCCACTCCCCCGGAGCGGCCCCGGGGTTCGCCGGAAACTCGCAACCCCCCCCCCCCCCCCACCCCCCCTTCCCCGGCAGAGCCACCCCGGCGACCCCCCCAGAGGCTGAAGCTCAGCCTCGAGGCTGTAGCTGAGACTCCTTGAAACTCACACGCCGGATCGGCGGACTTCTCGTAATCAGGTAGCATCGCCACTTCCAGGACTGGCACAGCACCCCTTGATGCCACCCCCCTTGCCGAGCTCCAGATTTGGGGGATCTGTTGTGTGCTGCCTTCCCCGTTCTCAGGCAGCGCATGGTGTGAATGAAGGGGCAGGCGACGTTCAGCCGCTCCCGCAAAGCGGCGAGTTTTGGTCGGCGCCGTCCTCTTTTTTCCACGCGCTCCGGCGTGTGGCAGGTCGTTCGGTTGTTCGTGTTTGCTGCCTCATCTCTTGGACTTGGTGTGCTTCCCTGTTGCCACCTCCCACATCGTCTGGTCCCGCTCCTCCGAGCCTGCCCTCTGGGGGCCAGAGGACGGCCTTCCCAAGAGCGGGCGAGTGCCCAAAGACCACCGGCCGTCACGCGCTTGCCTTGCGTCGCCTGGACCTGACGGCCCGTCTCGTCCTCATCCTCGTCCTTCTCCTCGCTAGCAGCATCGTCTTTGTCCTTGGCATCGCCCTCGTAGAACATGCAGCATCGTCAAAGAAGGAAATGCAACATCGTCAAAGACCTTCGCCCCTGGAGCCCTGGACCCCATCCTTCCAGGGCCCTCACGCCCGGGCACTCGGTCCTTCATCCCGAGTTATTCTTGCGGTCTCGTGGCGCGGTGAGGGCCACCAGGTGCCGAAAACAGCCCAAAACTTGCCGTCGTCATTTTCTCACGACGCGGGGGGGTCTGGGTCCTCGTCCTTGTCCTCGTCCTCGTCCTCGTCGTCGTCGTCGTCGTCGTCGTCGTCGTCGTCGTCGTCGTCACCGCCGACGTCGTCGCCGCCGTCATCGTCGTCGGCGTCGGCGTCGGCGTCGGCCGCCGCCAGCCGCCGCGCTGCCGGGCCGCCGCCGAGCGCGGCAGGCGGCGTGGAGGGACGCGCCTGCGCGGCTGCTCGTGGAGCCGCTGCAGGCGTCCGCGCCCGACAGGGGCCCGCCAGGCGCCCGGCCGCCCAGCCGCACCGGCGGCTGCGCGCAGCCGCCGAGGCCGTTTTTGATCCTGCGATGCTGCGATTCGGCCCTCGATCCTGCAAGCCTCGAGCCTCCCCCGTCGCACCCCGAGGCAAAGTGTTGTGAAGGCCGGCCGGGCGTGTCCCCCGAGGCTTCCTCACCATGTGTGGCCCATCGTTTAGTTAAGCATTGGCAACAGCTTCACAGATGGGGGGCGGGCCGTTTTCGAAATCTGGTTCTCGCTTCAGCGCCGCGCGCATTCGTTTTATAAACTTGCAAGAGCTTCGCGGATTGAGGGCGGGTGCTTTTTAAAAAATGTGGCTCTCGCTTCAGCGCCGCGCACATTCGTTCTAAACATTTGCATGTGCAAGAGCTTCACGGATTGAGGGCGGGTGGTTTTCAAAATGCGGCTCTCGCCGTAGCGCCGCGCACATTCGTTTTCAAAAGTTGCAAGAGCGCTACACGGATTGAGGGCGGGTCGTTTCAAAATGTTGTTCTCGCCTTAGCTCCCTTCAAATTCGCATCTGAAAGTTGCAAGAGTTTCACGGCTTCACATGATCATCGTATATGAGAGAGTGTTTTAGAGAGATTCAGGTTATGACGGTGCAACAATTACATAGGTTTGCGGAATTGAATTCACAGGAAACGCGTTTTGGCACGATGCAGGATCGTCAAGATGCAACAATCAGGTTGGTCTGTGGAGTTGGAGTTCCGAGAATAATGTTTGGCATGCGTCAGGGTCTTCAAACTGTTGCCTTCCAACGAGGCAGTTCCATCAGTGGAAATCAACCTTTGTAGGGGCCTATGAAGAGGGAGCTTGGAGGGAGGGTGTATGAAAACATCCTGTATGACTCTTGGGTTTACACTGGTCCTCCTCCTCCTCCTCCTCCTCCTCTTCCTCCTCTTCCTCCTCTTCCTCCGTCTTTGGGCGGTGCTCCTCCTCCTCCGCCTCATCTTCCTCCTCTCTCCTCCTCTCTCCTCCTCGCTCCTCCTCCCCCGCGCCCGGGACCGCATCGTCGTCGTCGAGGTCGTGTTGGTCGTCGTCGTCCTCGTCCTCGTCCTCACGTGGTCGTTGTCCTCGTCGTCGCCGCGGCCGGATCCGGCTTGAGATCCTGGTCAGGACGCTTGGGGTTCGATCGTCGTCGTCGTCTTCGTCGACGCCTTCGTCGTCTTCGTCGTCGTCGTCGTCGACGTCGACGTCGTTCTCCTGATTTACGAGGACATGAATTTTATGCTTGTCTGCCTTGCTGTGACTTCCTGAGCACCCTCGCCGCCACGGCTGGACGCGGCTCGAAGTCCTGGGCAGGACGCTCTGTGGAAGACGTTTGGGGTGTCGGCCATCGTCGTATTGTTCACTTGGCATTGTTGCCGCTGCCACTGGTTTTCCTGTCTGCGTATGGCTTGCCGTCGTTCGTCGCGCGCCGAAACGGTGCAGGTTTGAATGAACGGCCAACGAACCAGCGTGATGTGAAGCCGATCGTCTATGCCAATGACCCGACACAGCGGCAACCTCGAGTCGACCGAGGCAGGCTCATGCCAAAAACGAAGCCAACGACAAAGCTGAAGCTAAAGCGAAAGTCGCGACGCTACGACACCGCAGTACAGCAGATCCGTGTCAGGTCGACGCGTCGAAGAACCTAGCGCGGGCGTTCAAGATTGAACGCCGCTAGTGGCCCTGAACCTGCCAACATGGAGCGATCTGCGCTATCGAGAGCCATCGATCTTGTAAGATGGAAGGTTCACGTAGTGTCAGAGACCAACTCCTGGATTGTCACGACACGAACCTGACGGACCGAGATGCTGGGAATACACATGCGGCGTCGTGGTGCCGCACCGTGGCACTGCGACGCTACGACACTCGGGCCCCACCACACGGAGCAGCGACACCACGGCGCCAGGACGCCATTGGTAGCGCGGCGGCATGACACTGCGCGACCACCACCGCCACAGCACCGCGACCCGATGACGCCGCGACGCCACGACATTACGATACTGCGATGCCACGACGCGGGGGCGCCGCGGAATCATCTCACCACGACGCCGAACGACTCACCACGACGCCGAATCGCCGCGATACCACGACACCAGAGGCACTGCGGTACTGCGACACCTCAGCACTTCCCCCTCCCCCTGGTGGCAGCAGTATGAAGGGCAGATAGCAGCTCTAGCCAGCGGCCACGCGCTCTAGCGGCCATGCGCCTTGGCGTGCGTGCGCGCACGACGTAACACACGAAACCGCGATTTCTGGTTTAGGATTATCCTTCAGAGGGGAGTTCACGGCCCAATTTCTGATCAAGGCACTGAGCGCGGTTCGCGGGTGGCTCGGAGAGGAGTGGAGGAAGGAGCGCAGGACAAGGAAAGCAAAGGGGACGAGGGCCGAATTTGTTCCCGCACCGGCTGCCGAAGCACGGGCCCACCTACTTCCCGAGGCTACATGCTGGGCCTCTTCGAGGGTGCGGGCGGCATGTTGGGCGCGGCCGGGCCCACGCTGAGCTGCCGCAACGACAGCGCGTGGAAGCGGCTGCTGCAGCACTTGAGGGGCAGGGGGTGGCCGGTGGCGCCTGTGTTCTGTCAGTGCGAAAGAGCCTGTGAATCGACAGGAGGTCAGCGATGGCTAGAAGTCGATTAGACGTAAGAGTGACCTTTCGCCGGAGTGACCTTTGGTGCGGGCACGGATGGGCCCTCAGATGGCTGAAAATGAAGCGGTAGCAGGGGCTTGCGCGCCCAGGTTTGATCTCCCCGCGGCCCCCAAAAAGCCGCGCACCAAAGGTCACTCTTACCCAGGGTCACTCTTGCGTGTAGCCGAAGAAGGGGCAAGAGGAAGTGTGGCGATTGTGGGGCCACGAGAACAGGGGTGCCAGCGGATGCAGCGGCAGCAGCAGCAGCAGAGTCATGATACATGTGTGCAGGATCGGTTTCGGTGTACTGCATCTGTCGGCTGAGTCGTGTGGGCGGGCTCTTCGGCATTGTCCTACTTTGGGTGGCAATGGTGCCATCCTCCTACGGCCTGTTGCTGACGTTGGCGTCTTGAGTCCATGCTGCCACTGCGGTGTTAAGATCCACGGTTTCGTTGCAGGTGTGGGCGTTGCTGCCGCCGACGCGCCTGTCGGTCGTCTCTGCGATTCGCATGGCTTCAATGCAGCAGCGTGTGCTCAGGGACGACAGCTAGGGTGGCAAAACAGGCAAGTCGAAGGGTTCACACCGTCAGAGGAATGTTGAGAACCAGAGGAGGAGTGAGGGAGTGAGAGAGAGAGAGAGGGAGAGACAGAAGCAGGAAGGCAAACCCCATCAATGCTAGGCTTGAACAAGCTGGTGGGCAACTTAGACCTACGAAGGAGGCAGCAGCCTGAAGCCACTTTGTGTGCCAACAGCGAAGCACCTCCACAGGTACAAGCAGTCCGTGTCAAGGCAAGGCCCTCACTGGGCTCGACTCAAGATTCTAGGCGCGCCTCGAAGCGTGGGCACTGGAGTCATCCAGAGGGTATTCGCTACTCCTGGGAATAAGGCGCGTCATAGGGGGGGGCGATAGCGCGACGCACCCCTGGGCACACCGCGGGTGCTTCGTCTCTCCCCTACGACGATGACGACGACGACGACGACGACGACGACGACGACGACGACGACGACGACGACACGCGCGTGAGTGCTGAACAAAGCAATCCCAGGCGCAGCAGGGTTGCGTCATTTTCCCCGTACGTATGCGGATGCGGAGCTGACGACGACGATGACGATTTCGTTCTGGCAATTTCCACGTATGCCTCTGCTCGCCTCGGGGACTTACGCGCAACTATATGTTGCACACCGCAAATCTCACAACAGCCTGCGAGCACCTTGTCTGCCCGCGAGCATCACACAACGCTTGCTGATAGTATTGCTGCCGTTGCTATGCCACCGCTATGCCTGCGAGCACCAGCACGATGTCTGTGAGCACCATAGCGGCCTGCTAACACCCGCATGGTGCCTGTGAGCAGCAGCATAGTGGGCATGAGTGGGAGGACGGATGAAGGAGGGAGGGAGGGCGAAGAGGTTGAGGGACAGAAACGGTAGGTGTACCCAAACGCTAGAGTTGGTCACATCTCTGTTGTCGGATCGTCTTCAACATGCGTCCTTGGCGCCCTTCGGTGGAGAGAGACAGAGAGAGGATGAAGAGGGATGAAGGGGATTGATGGAGGAGGGAGGATGAAAGAGGAGGGGAGAACGGAGAAGGGAAGCGAGCCCAAACGACAGGGTGGATCACGCATTAGGTGCCGATTTGTACTCGATGCACCCCTCGACGTGCCCTACGTTCCATGCGGCGACCACACGGCGCGGGAAGTCAGACCTTGCCAGTACCACAATGGCCTGCGACCGCCACGCGTGTGCACGACAGCACGCCAGTCTCTGACTGCCGGTATCCTACATGCGCAGCAGTACCGTAATTTGCCTGCGAGCATGAGCTGCACCTGCGAGCACCACGTTAGTCTGCGAACGCCACGACGTGCCTGTTGGCACCTCGGCGTCCCTGCGAGCACCACAAGTCTGCGAGCGCCACGTTCAGCCTGCGAGTGCCACAGCTTGCTTGCGAACGCTGCAACAGCGCGCGATCTTCGCAACATGCCCGTGGGCACTTCTCGGCGGCCAGCGTCAAATTATGTCAAATTATCCGGGGGTCACGTTTTTGTTGGGGGCATGAGCCGCCCGCCCTGAGTGAGCACCTCACGGCGCCCAGACGTGGGTGGCGCTCGCTGAGATGACCGCTGGGGTTGCTTTGAGGATACAGGGGTTAGAAGTGGATGCTAAGGCGGGCTGTGCTAACTTCGCCTACGCATGGGCTAAAGGTGCCCTAAGTGGTTTAGGGAGGTTAACCATCTGGGCCAAGTGGGCTCCACCCACTCAGCCCAGTTTTCGAACCCCCATGAAACACTCAGCGGCTCATGGCACCTGTAGCCCGCTTATTATGAGCTGGGCTGGGCCAGATATGAGCCACTTTCGCATCCGCTTCCAAGCCGCCGCATCCCCTCAGCAGCCGCCGTGGACATCTCGGCGGAGTGAGCACCTCACGACGCCCGGACGTGGGGGAGGCCACTCGGGGCCGTCGCCTCTGCCCAGCCCGCCCCCCATCGCCCCCCCCGCGTGCACGGTGCCCTCAGCGTGAGGGCTGGTCGCCGCGGACAGGGGCCCAACATGACCTCCCTCCCCCCCCCTTTACCCCGATAGGAGCCCGATGGTGGACTTGCGGACGGGGCCGCCGCCGATCTCTTGGCGATGCAGCGCCGATTCCGGGCGTGGCCCGGCAAGGGTTCTGGCGGGGATGCATGGGGGGCCAGGTTCGAGGCGCTTGGTGGGAACGGTTTCCGCTGCCTTCTCCGGGCTCCTGGGGCCGTTGCCGGGTCCCGCGGGCCGTCATAAACGGATCCAGGGTGAAAAATTGCACCAGGTGGACCCGGCATGGATGTGGGGACAGATTGTGTGCGGATTTCGACCTGCAGGTGCCCCCCCGACATTGTCCACCCAGTTGGCGGCGCTCAGCTGTGGCCGCGCGCGCATCGTCGCCTTTTCATTTTTTTGCACAATGGGCGACTTTGCCTCGTCTCGGGCCCCGCGGAGATCCGGCTCCGTAAGATACCGCAGGCAGATGGGGGCAATGGCTCCGGCCGGGATTTTTCACGATGTTGCCATTCTTTGGCAGCGTCGGATCTCCAGGCCCGCCCAAACTCCTCGGCGCCCAGCTTCCCTCCCGTGGCCTCCGTGCTGTTGGCCTTCCGAGCCGCGCGTCGGCCGTGGCGACGAGCGCCTTCCCAGGACGCCCAAAGCGCCTCTCCAGAGCGCCTGTGGGTCCTCACGCATCCGCCGCTCTGATTTTTTCCCGTGCGCGGCCCCATCGGGTCCCAGACCCCCTCGAGTCATGAAAAAATCACGACGGGAGGTTTTTTGCCATTTTCGGCTTCTGGGGGCCCCTACCGGGCCTCGGGGCTGTAAAAAAACGACTCAGGATGAAAAACCGGTCTCGGGGAATGGGTCCAAACCGCTGGGGGTCGACGTCATGAAAAAATCATGACGTCGGGGGTTTGGGGTCCCGACCCCTTCCCCGGGGCTCGAGTTCCGCCCCGGATTTGTTCCTGATGGCTGCAGAGCCCTGGTAAACGTGCCCCAGAGGCCGAACCCGAGGAAAGTCGCCGGGACGACGCAAATCATCACGTCGGAGATCTGGGTCGGGGCATCGCCATGAGTTGTTTAAGATTTGCAAGGCCATCAGAGACTGAGCGAGTCCCCTGTTCATCCCCGTGGGACGGGGGCACACCCAGGCGTCCGATGTTGACGGCTCCCGGGGCTCGGCGGGGTCCCCCAGAGCTGGCCGCGGCGGTCGCTAAGTGGATCGGGAAGGGTGAGGGGGTCAGAAGTGGATGCTAAGGTGGGTGATGGTTGGCCTGGCGAGCGTAAGCCTTGCGCTGGACGGGGCGCGAGCAGGGTGAAACATGAGAGCACTGGTGCAGAACAAATCTGACATGGGAGCATTCGTGAAGCATTATGGTTGGCCCAGCCTGGCCTCTACGTGGGTTGCTGGTGCCCCCGGGCTGAGTGGGCTCCGCCCACCTACCCGGGCGATCTAACCACCTGAGCCAGTCAGGGCACCTGTAGCCCACTTTGCACCCGCCGCGGTCATCTCAGGCACGAGCCGCAAATAGTAGAAAACCGCCAGCTGTCTTTTCCACGACAGCGCGACCGAGGACCAGGGGTGAGGGGAGGAGGGGGGGGGAGGAGGAGGAGGAGGGGATGCCAACGTTATCCGGATTCGAGGGGAGCTAACCAGCTCAGCCATCCGCACGACTCCATGGACTTGCGCCTCGCTGCCGCGCCTCACCGTGAGTTGTGCCGGCTTGCGTTCGCGCCGATGTTGCAACGGTGCGCCCAGTATTTTTTCTGGCATCGCGATTAGGCTACCACGTCTTGCTCAGCGGCACCTCTGTGGCGGCACTCCACGACGCGAGAGAGTCAGAGTCCAGAGCGCCTGCGTCTGGCGGCGCGCCCAGCTGCGGCCGAGCCAGCCGGCGCCTGCGAAGGGGCCGCCGGCACTAAGTCGGGCCTGTCCCTCTACCGGGGGAACATGCAAAAATGGGGAAAAAATAGTCTGGGGACTATTTTTGAAGGATTCCTTGACCATTTGGAGGTATTTTTCTAGTATGTCTTATTTTTGAAGACCATTTGGGACTCCTTGGGACCATTTGGGACCATTTGGGAAATTTCTGGACCATTTGGGACTACTTCTGAAGTATACTCTTGACCATTTGGGGGCACTTCTGGAGTACTTCTTATCTTTCGTCGACAATCCCCCTGCAGGGGGAGAAAGGCCCGACTTGACGCTGGCACCGGGGGGCGCGGCGGGGCCCCAGGAACGCGACCGGCTTCGTGCTGGACCTGCAGCCGCCGCCGCACGCCTGGGCCGCGCCGCGCCCCCGAAGCCCCCGTCCTCCTCCTCCTCCTCCTCCTCCTCCTCCTCCTCCTCCTCCTTCTCTTCCCCCTCCTCCTCCTCCTCTTCCCCCTCCTCCTCCTCCTCCTCCTCCTCCTCCTCCTCCTCCTCCTCCTCCTCCCCCTCCTCCCCCTCCTCCTCCCCCTCCTCCCCCTCCTCCTCAGAAGGCCCCCTCGGAGAGACGCACGGCCTGCAGCGACGCGCAGAATTTCGGCGCTCCGCGCGGCTCTCTGGGATCGGCGACAGCTACCAGCCTCGGACTCATCCCTATCCCTAAGATTGACACGCCAGAAGGCGAGGACAATCTCAGGGACTCGCCCCCCAAAAGATAGGGGCATCCCTAAGGCTGGCATCGTGATGAGGAGGTGCCCAGCATAGAAATAGGGATATGTTCCAGGCTGGTACAGTCGGGGCCCTGAAGAAGGAACCCTTATCGTTTGGGAGGGGCTCCGTGTTCCTTAAGTGTTTCACAGCTCGCCTCAGGTTTTCCTATGTTTTTGATCGGGAATCAAAGTTTAACTTATGGAAAAAAGGGGCCTCGTTCCTTATTTAGGGTTCCTTAGGTCAACGCCCCGACTGTAAGACAGGCCCCCTCTGGCGGCTCCTCCAGCGCCGCCCCTGGCGCGCTCTGCGCGCGAGGGAGGGGGGGATCCGGCGCCGACCCGCCAAGTCCGCGAAGGCCGTCGAGTCTTCTTCGTGTCTGCCGGTTCTTCTCAGGCCGCCAGGAGCGGCAGGGGTGAGGAAGAGGGAAGAGGAGGCCCAGAAGCGCTCGATCCGTGACCAAAGACACACGACGGAGGTGTTTTGGCCGTGCTCGGCCCCGGGACCCCAGGACCCCAGGACCGCAAGAGACAAACTTGGGATGATGATTTTGCCCTGAGCAGATCAGGCCGGACGAAAGGGGGGGATTGGGAAAGGGGGGGTTACGAAATTTGATGCATGTAGCTGGTTTCGGCCTCACCGAGGGGCCCATTCCTCGATGCATAGCTCCATCTGGCGCCAGGGGGCGCCGGGAGAATCAGCTACATGAGCTGATTCTCCCCCCCCCCTTTTGCTATCCCCCCCTTGCGCCCGACCCGAGGAGAAGGTCGGGACTTCTGGGGACACCGTGTTGAACAGATTCGCATTCTCCTTTCGGATCTCGTTTCGGTTGGTTTGGGGGCATGGGGGCCCTCGCAGGTCGATCTGGCTCAGGAAGACGCGCAGCGGCCGCCCCCCCTGCCCGCCCAGCCGCAGGTGGCCAGGGGCTCGACTCAGCACAGCACAGAATCTGGAAGTGGAACATATACACTGCCAGCGGCGGGCTGTTAATCAATCCCAGGACTTGTTGAGGGTCGGCGACGACGTCGGGGTGGTGTGGTGTATGTATTATTGCCCGCTTCCCGGGCAAACAGCGAAACACGTATAATGCACACACCAGGGCCCCAAATACACCAGGATCCGCTTTCCTGTGCAATCTCGACGCAGGGCCAGAAGCAGCGTCGGTGTATAGAGTTATGCTGATCCAACCGACTTTAGCCTTGATCTCCAGAAAAATTCGAGCACCAGAAAAGTACCCACAAGCTCGATGGGTTTCGCGCGTCGGGCCCTGGATGACACTCGTCCGACACTGTTTCTACACTCTTTCGACACTCTTCCGGGCGCTCGAAAGTATTTCTGGGCTGTGGTCCGTAAGTACGATGGGAGCAACATAAGTAAGAACGGTTTTTTGAAGGCAGATCTGCCCTCTGTAAGAACGGTTTTTTGAAGGCAGATCTGCCTTCAAAAAACCGTTTTTGAAGGCAGATCTGCCTTCAAAAAACCGTTCTTACAGAGTTCGGCCCACTGCATACCATGGCAGATGCGGCCCGCAGCGGGCACGACGGCCGAGCACACCGACGAGCACCGGGCGGCCGAGAGGAGCGGCCCCGCTGGCTGGCGGCGGCCCCCCGAGGAACAACGACCCGTCGACCTCGACCTCCTCCTCCTCCTCCTCCTCCTCCTTCCTCCTCCTCCTTCCTCCTTCTCCTCCTCCTTCCTCCTCCTTCTCCTCCTCCTCCTCCTCCTCCTCCTCCTCCTCCTCCTCCTCCTCTCTCCCACTCCTCCTCCTGCTACTCCGCCCCCGCAGCGTGACGAACATGCAGAGCTGGGCATCAGTGGGCTTGTCGAGCAACTGACATGGAAGGGGGGACCTCACCTGGAGGCGCCTGGAGAAGAACACGCGGATGGGAGCGGATACGGAGGCGCGCAGGGGAAAGAGACACCCACCCACAGAACGCCGCCGCTCGGCGGATGTCAGCAAGGTGCTCCACGGCCACTGCCACCTCGGCGGGCTCGTTTTCGGGGGGCGCTCGAGCATGGGGGGGCGACCGAGGACCCCAACGCGACGGAGGCGCCACCGAAGAGGCTCGCTGACCAATCGGTTGACGAGGGGCAGGTGTTGAAGTGGAGGCGGAGGTCAGCAGGGCGACCCACTGCCACCGCCTCCTTGGCCCACGTCGGGCGCTCTGACACAGGAGCCCACGCTCGGGGAACGCACGAATATGAGTTCAGCGCGACGGAAACTGCAGCGCGGACGAGGCACAGGAGCCGCTGAGGGAGTGCGTCGGCCAGGCAGTAGCTGAGGAGCCAGGGAAGGGGCGGTTGAGGGCATTCCATGGCGGCCCCGGGCGGGCTACGCCGAAGGAGGCCGCGGCATGCTTCGGGGCGGCGGCCTGCCGAGGAGCTGCACGGCGGCTGCGGGGAGCCGCCGCGGACTGGAGGCGCAGGAAGTGTTTCGGTGGCAGCCCCGCCTGGTCGCTCTGCTGAAGAGATGGACGCGCCCTCGCTTGAGACGGCGCGGCCGCGCACTGACCGGGAGAGGGCGAAGGACGGCTTCGCGGGCCGCAGGCACACCGACACGGCGAGGCCGTACGCACGGCCCCTGGAGACGATGCGCAAGTGGCCAGTGCGTGCGCACGGGGCCCCGTGCCCGCGACGATCGGGCACCTCATCGACTGCGCGAACGACTGGGACCCCGAGCCGCGTGGGCCGACGGTGCCCAGCCAGGCTCTTCGCGCCATGGGATAGACAGAGCGCGGGACAGGCGCAGACCAGAACGACTGACTCTCCACTCGACCCGAGGCCCTGCAGGTCGTCGCGAACGGTGTCGAGGCGGGCACAGACGAGTCCGACGACGAGACAGTACGTTTCCCCTGCGCGCTCTTCGGGGCCTTGGTGCGGCTGGTTCAGTGGCGCACCCTAAGGCAATGCAATTTGTTCATGATGCTGCCCCATTGTCCATTTTGAATATGAGCCCTCTCCATCCCAGACAGACCCTTATCGACCGCCCCCCCACCCACCCACCCGCCCGCGTTCGTGTCAAATCGCTCAATGCGCGCGCGCTGGTTGATCGAAAGCCATCCAATATTCCTTTGCGGAAACGAAAGTAGACGAAGTCGACGCGCGCGCCGAAATCCCAGGAAAAAACAATTGGGTTCGCAAGGGTTCAAAGATCGACGTTCCCGAATGTGTCAATGACAAAAAATCTGCGCGCTTTTGTGGATTCTTCGCCACCTTCACCACCGCCGCGTGGGCGCCATCATCGCCATCGGCGTGATCAGCATCGGCGCCGCCATTGGCTTCGCCGTCGTCATCGCCGCCGTCGCCACTGGCATCGCTACTAACATGATCATGTCTGCCGTTGCCGACGTCGCCATGATACCGCGCCCGTCCGAGTCACCGGCTCGCGCTGAAGTGCCCGCGCGTCAGCGCGGCCTGCGAGACGCGCTTGGAAGCGCCCTGCGACCATCGCCACCGCGGCCTTGTCGGTTGCGGCGCATTATCTCGCCGCGCTGCGCGCGAGCACGCGCGCGCAAGCGCGGCTGCCAACCAAGTGCCGGGTGGGGGGTGGGATGATTGCGCGAGCAATGGAGTCGACATTTGGTTTTGACAATATTCACTTGTGAGCAGTATGTAACGCTCCTTTCCTAAGAGCATGAAGATCCATGTCTCCCCCCGGGCTTAACGGGTCACCCTTCCGCGTGGAATTTTGCATCTGATGATCCTGCACCACTGCCCATCCGAATTTTGAACTTGTACCATTCCAGGCACGCGCTTATCGACCCCCCTTTCATCCGATGCACAAGGCTCAGTGCGCGCATTCGCTGCTCAAAAATCACCAGTTCACATGAATTCCTTGCAGAGAGAAAAATGTTCACGCGCGTACCGTCGCGCGTACATGCGGGAATTTCCATATCGAGCGCCTCGGCAACATATGCAACAACTAATGATTTCGCGACAGGAATTGTCATGCGAACCCGGCGCGGCCCCAAGTATGGAACAACTTCCTACTGCATGGGCGCAATGTTTGGCATTGTTCGACATTGTCTGGCACTGCTTGGCATGGCATTGCTCGGCATTGCCTGGCACTGCTGGCAATTAGTTGGCATTGCTTGGCACTGCTTGGGGACCCGGGGAACCTAGGGAACCCGATGAACCCGGGGAACCCGAGGAATTTCCGAGCAACGGGCAGAGCGGCACCGGGGCCGGGGAACCCGGGGAACCCTCATGAACCCGAGGAGCCCCCGAGCAAGGGGCAAACTAGGGCCCCGAGACACCCATCTTTACCCAAGTAAGAACCCCTCAGGCAAACCTAATTGAGGAAATTGTTTTTTCCCCACATCCTGAATGGGGTTCTTGTTTTCCCAGAACATCCTCTCCTTTTCCCTCCCGCCTCCCGCCTCCCATATCAATACCCCGCCTGAGCGAGCAGGGTATCGGAAACCCATACTATTTACAAGGTTTCGTGCCCCTCCCACCCCTCCAGGGAGGCCCCGCATGAGCGAGGAGGGTATCGGAAACCCATACTAATTACATGGTTTCGTGCCCTTCCTTTCTCTCCAGGGAGGCCCCACCTAGGCGAGGATGGTATCGGAAATCCAAACTATTTACATTGTTTCGTGCCCCTCCCACCTCTCCAGGGAGGCCCCGCCTCAGCGAGGAGGGTATCGGA